CACGAGTGCTGAGCCTGGCGTCTGGCGCTCCGCCACGCCTGACCGGTAGGCAACGCTACTCCTATGCGCAGGATGTGGCTTCCGTAGCAGGTCCGGTGTTACTGCCTACCTGAGGCGAGTACACGAGAGGACACGGGCTATACATGGAGATTATAGAATCTCGCAAACGTGTTAGGTGTCGCACAGCCGGCAGCTCTACAGATGTCTGCTATCGAGGCGCCCCGCGCCAATGCCCAAGAAGATGCCACTGCTCTCGTATGTGCGTTTGCACGCGCTCTCCTTTTATACCCGCGCTGCGGGGCGGGGTGCGCGTGGCGAAACATGCACGCCAACTGTCATTGGCTTGTTTAGTTAACACTCGAAGGTGATTGGGCTCTCGGGCGAGATCCCAATTCGTAACGTCGAACGTGACTGACTGAAAGGGAATTAGAGTTGTTATGTCCAGCATATGAAATACTAGGTTACTGCCTGAGAAGGTACAGAGTTAGTACAAAACCAGACTTAGTCCAAACCACAATCTTTTTAGCAATTAGCTAAATGGCCATTGCAAGTAATGCTATGGAAACCTGACGTCACACTGCAATGCATTGTGGGATTTTAGGATACGGGGACATTGATGAAAAATAGATTTTCTATTAATGAGAATACACCTATTATTCCACAATGAACAATTATGGGGAAATTTGTGTTTGTATAACAATTTCCAATATAATACTTAAACTGAAACCAACATCCTGACCATCAAGAGCCAAAATGTATAAAATTCTAGAAAAAAAATAGCGAGTGAGAAAATCACTTTTTGTGGTGAACTAAACTAATTTCATCCCAGAGGACAAAATGATTGGTCTGAACAAGAACAAAACAAAAAACAACAACACTGAAACCACAAGATGTGATTGACATGTTTCATTGAATTAAGTCTGATTATTGAACAGGTCGAGTTCTTGGGGAAGAAGCTGATAACCCAAATAATGGTAAGATATTGTATTACTGTGCACTGAATCTCTGTGTGTATGAGTACAAATCATTTTAACATCTTTGTCTTCAGTAGCTGAAGAAATTGCTTATCAGCAGAGAGATTTACCAGATGGTAAGTTACTGTAAAACAATGTGCATTTTCATTGTCCATTACATGTAATCATAATTAACAAAAAATGATTATTGTTCAAACAGGTCAGGACGAACGTGGTCCACTTATTGATGGTAAGATGTTGAGTTTCAGTTGTGTGCTTTTGTTTGTAAAAAAATCAGCCCTTGAAATATTAAGATCTGCTATTTTTATAGTAAACAGATGACTAATTAGGAGAGATATTTATGATCATTTCGACAGAGAAAAGCAGAGTTTTATGCTCTGAAGTAAAAATATGAAAATCACAGTCAATATTCCAGGGTTTTGTGTTTATAGATGGTACCGTGTTGTTGGGTAGGTTTGGGAAACCCAAAGGCCTGATGGACGTTTGATCTGGCCATCATTTGCATGCTATATTTTAAGTACAATAGCTTAGTATGTGGAAGAGAGCAAAATTTAAGACGTTCACTGAAAAGGTTCCCCTCTGCAGTAGCTCTTATATCAAATATGGTGCCATAAGTTTCTGCCTCGGGTTTAATGGTATTTGGAAAAGTGCAGACTTTGGGACATACTGTACTACTTTGTCATAATTTAACAGACTGCTCTGATGCTTGGTTACATGCATTCTGTCATAGTTACATAGCCTTGTCATAATTTACGTCTTTAATTTAATATCCTACTGTATTAGAGAGAAATGAAGAAGCCAGTTGTGGGTCTTTAATGCAGAGAACTCTCCTGATATTTTTGCATAATGACAAATTTAAAATTGAATGACCAAATGTATCTTTATGAAAGTTCACAATGTTATTGCAGATGAAATTTTATTTGGATTATATTGAATATTCGTCAGGTTAGATGTTGCTTATTAATCACTCAAACCCTATCTAAACCGCTCCACTTAACCATCGATCTTACATATCCAGCATGTTTGTAGTTTTTTTTATTATTATTCATGTTTGTAGACATAATCAAAACATCATCCAACATGCAATGGGTTGTGGGCAATATTAGTTGTTAGAGTGTGCACAAATCGGCACTTAGAATTTACTCTGGAGATTGGGTACCTTTGGGATACAAATCTTGTGCTGATAATCTTGTGCTGATAATGTCTTTTGCAACCAGAGTTTGTGCATTAGTGATCGCAAGCACGGCTGTCAATCATGAAATCCCACCCAGTTTTTATAGCATCAAATAACTAACTAAAACCAAACATATTGGAAAAAATGAGCACTTGAAAATACACCAGTGTGATAAGCGTAATTGGATCTTTTGGTTTGTCTCGCGTCCCATTCGACTGCATGAAGAAGAAAGGGTTTATGACCTATAACTAATTCTAAATTGGAATGCTATTTAAAGGAACACTCCACTATTTTTGAAAATAGGCCCATTTTCCAACTCCCCTAGAGTTAAACAGTTGAGTTTTACCGTTACCATTCAGCCGATCTCCGGGTCTGGCGGTAGCACTTTTAGCTGTAGCTTAGCATAGATAATTGAATCTGATTAGACCGTTAGCATCTCGCTCAAAAATGACCAAAGAGTTTCGATATTTTTCCTATTTAAAACTTGACTCTTCTGTAGTTACATCGTGTACTAAGACTGACAGAAAATTAAAAGTTGTGATTTTCTAGGCCAATATGGCTAGGAACTATGATATTACGCAGCGCCTGAAAATAGTCCCCAGCACGCTCCCTGTGCAAGCAGGTGGTCACGTTGGTTATGTTGACGGAAGTTAGCCTATTTCAGGCGCTGCGTAATATCATTGCACCTGCTGCACCCATGGTATGGCAGCAAAGTTCCTTGATTATTACGCCGGAATGAGAGTATAGTTCCTAGCCATATTGGCCTAGAAAATCACAACTTTTCATTTTCTGTCGGTCTTAGTACACGATGTAACTACAGAAGAGTCAAGTTTTAAATAGGAAAAATATAGAAACTCTTTGGTCATTTTTGAGCAAGATGCTAACAGTCTAATAAGATTCAACGATCTATGCTAAGCTACAGCTAAAAGCGCTACCGCCAGACCCGGAGATCAGCTGAATGGATTCAAAAACGGTAAAACTCAACTGTTTAACTCTAGGGGAGTTGGAAAATGAGCCTATTTTCAAAAATAGTGGAGTGTTCCTTTAAGATGGATAGTATGTGAATTGGGACGAGGCATCTGAATTTCAACAAGTTTCATTTACATTCATAACAATTCAACTTCCTGCATGCTGTGGCCAGTTCACTTCAAATTCACATTCATGAATTGAAAGAGAGCCTGTTCTTTCATAATTTTGGCCAAATCTGGATGAAACTTTTTTTTTTATTAGATATTAGCCCACAGTTTCTTTGTATGCTTGTAGGAGGTCAGACATTACTTTAAACTAAATTAAGTTGACCACAGGGAAAAATAAATCTAATAGAGCAAAAACAAAAAGGAAAGAAAGTGCAACACTGAAACCACAAGATGTAATTGACATGTTTCATTGAATTAAGTCTGATTATTGAACAGGTCGAGTTCTTGGGGAAGAAGCTGATAACCCAAACAATGGTAAGATATTGTATTACTGTGTGCACTGAATCTCTGTGTGTTTGAGGACAAATCAGATTAACATCTTTGTTTTCAGCAGATGTGATCATAATTAACAAAAATGTGATTATTGTTCAAACAGGTCAGGAAGAATGTGATCCACAGCAGGGTAAGAACTGAATGGTACACCTCCATTACACCACCAGCTGTGAACAACTTTACCATAAATTGCATAAATCTCAGGTCTATCTCAGGAATCTATCCTGACTCAGTGATTTAGATGTTTGACAACCTGAAGTTGTTTTGTTTTGTATTCAACAATTCAAACTCTATCAAACACTTTTGTGAGATTTTTGCTTGAAGAGATTGTGCTAGCTTTGCTTAAATTAAAAAAAAAAGCCTATACTGTTGTGCTCTATATCAGTTCAATAAATGGCAGTTTTGTCTTGAGACCATACGCTAAGACCCAGGCAAAACAGTAGTTTTGTTCCAGGATCAACAAGGATGTTGATTCTGGAACATGTTCTACAAAACCACAGATCTTTTTGTGGCATAAGATTTGTTTGACAAGGCCCTTTCCCAGTTGCATACTACACTACACATGTTAAAACTCTTGTCTTGAAAACCTTTTTTTCTCCAGATATGTTTCATTCCGAACCAGATCAACTGAAGAAAATAACAGTGAAGCAAGGAGAAACAGTCACTCTAAAGACTGGTGTTACTGACATGCAGAGAGATGATCTGCTACGGTGGAAGTACGCTGATTCCAGAGTATCTGAATCCACAACCTTATTTAGTGTCATCGCCGTATGCAATAAAAGGACCGCTAGGATCGCAGTAAAGGAAGGTCCTGGAGGGAAATTCAAAGACAGACTACAGCTGGACCATCAGACTGGAAATCTCACGATCAAGAACATGAGAGTCAAAGACACTGGGCATTTTAAACTAGAGATCAAGAACAACAAACATCAGCTGACAAAAACCATCAAAGTCAATGTCTGTGGTGAGAAGCTTAAGTATTTAGAAGTGTTTGAAATGTTTCTCTTATTCTTACTCCAGCTTCCATTCTGACCCTTGTGTTTGAGCCTAGTCAGTTATTATAGCCATAGTATTAGTAATAATAATAATAAATAACACATTTTAGAATATGTTTCTATCTTAAACACTTCACTTTCACAGTAGTAGTGTTTTAATAGCCTCATCTCCAAATAAAGAGTATATAAATCTCCATGCCTGTGTTACTCTGTGTATAATTGCAATAAGGCAGTTGTAATGTAAAAAACTTGCTAGGCCTAACGCTGAAACTTGTGTTTGAAATGAAGAGTCAGGTGATGCAGTTTTTCTTTTGACATTAATGTGAAGAGTTTCATTTGCCATACAATGCAATTTAACACATTCCTTTCTCTCTTTTTACCTTGTGATTCTGTTATTTTACAGCTTCCACAAAAAAGCAAGGGGACGATCCAAATGAGACAAATTTGTCCTTGATACCAGAAGAGGACCCCAGCAACACTAGTACATATACTGTGGAGCCGATGGACACGGCCGATGCATCTTTTACTCCATGCATCTTTTATGTTGGCCGTTTGACGCCTCTTTTATATTTTGGAATATTATTTCATATTTTGGGATATTGTAAAACACAAGCTTTAAAGATCCTATGAGAAATGTTAAAACTAACAGCTGCTAAATGTATGGTTATGTGACCCTCTCCAAAGGATTCCTTTAACACAGTTTGTGTGTTTGACGTTTTTATGTAAATATGATTTTAGAAAATATTAGAATATTTTTGTTTTGTACTATTATATTATTGTGAATCCTTTTGGTGATACAAGACTCCACCTTAAATATTACTCCAATAGGTTATTAAGGAACCAAGCACAAATAATTGATCAATCCCATAGTAGTATGTATTGGAAAACACAGCTAATGATACATTTTCAATCAAAATTGTTAGAAGCAAAGCTACTATTACTTGGTTACACTCTAATACATTATCAATGCTACTCAGGTACCCTTATAGTATGGTGCTAAAGAATTACACAATACAGTAAAACTACACTCTAAAAAATGCTGGGTTGTTTCAACCCAATGTTGGGTTAAAAAGTTAATTTAAAAATGTAACCAAAATTTAACCCAACAGTTGGGTTAGTCCATATTTGACCCAACATTGGGTTGAAACAACCCAGCATTTTTTAGAGTGTATAACTATGCTAATCTCTGGACCAAAATGGCAGTGCCAAAACATTTATGAGGCTCATATTGTACAGAAACTGTACCGGTTTATTTGCATCGTATAAAATGAATTGGGAGTGACACTGTCATTAATGTTGATGTTAACTTGTAATGTGAGCATGTTGTGACATACTGAGGTTTTAATATTCAGTCTAATGTTTATTTACATACTGTGATATTTGAGATGTTCTTTGTAAACTCACTGTGAAAACACTCAGTATTATGAATGCAATATATTTTAGCGACTAATAAAACGTATGAAAACCTCGCAATGAGTTATTTGTTGATTAATACATAAAAGATACATTTACAGTCGGTCATTATCTCAAACTAAACCCTGACAAGGTATTACCAAAGGGAAAAGTATCTTTTAAATCATAAAATAAATATTGAGAAGTGTTCCCTTCATTCCCAAATGACTGTTTATAACATCATTTAAAGGGATAGTACGCCCAAAAAATGAAAATCATGTACTCACCCTCAAGTTGTTCCAAACCTGTATGAGTTTATTTAGTCTATTGGACACAAAAGAAGATGTTTTCAAGAACATGGGTAACCGAACAGTCCAATGACTTCCATAGTAAGGGGGGAAAACAACTATGGAGTCAATGGGGACCAAAAAAAGTTTGGTTATCAACATGTATTTCCTTTTTTGTTCAACATAATGAAAACTGTACAAGTGTTTCATGTACTCATGTGATTTTTGTAGGCTATATCATCGTGCATTGAATTAAGCCCAACTGTCATGCATCACTAGCTTTAACATTTCTATCTTCATTGCAAGCTCATAGTAAATCTTTGCCACTCTGGAAAACTGAGAATTTTCGAACTCCCTATTTCCTACAGGCAGCTACAAACTAAACAGATAAAACAGTCAACATACAGCAATTGTGCAATTGTTATATTTTGGTAAAGCTGGTGTTTAGCAGCTTCACAACCACAAAAGCCAAGAGGTCCTCTAAAACCACCAAACCAGACCAGCTTGGACAAGCAATGAGTCAACCACTAGTTGGTTTAAATTACAAGTGCATGATGCTGGGAAACCGCAAAGAAAGCGGCTAACACCGCGAGCAAGGAAGTTTATTGTAAAGCATTACCTCAGTCAGGGGCTTCGCAGATGATCTAAGTTTCTGTCAGTTCGCGTTCATCGAGAACCGTAGCGCGGCTGCAAATATGCAGTTTGTTGTGGAGAACAGTATCTAGCACAACAGTTTATGTGTTTCTTCCCACAAAGGACGCATCTATTTAGCAGATCAAACACTGTACGTATGCTACTAATGTGATGCTTCAGCCTGACAAGCGTATGGACATACAGGAAGAGGGAAAAATAAGAAACTGCCTATAATTGACCATGAAAACTCGCTTTTAATATATGTTTTAAACTAAATATATAAAGTGAGAGTGACATAAGTATATTATCGTTTTTTAATTAGGCTAAATGCATTTGGAAAATTACCAACTTCCAACCAGCTTCGCCACTGGTTACATTGGTGTCAATTTTACAGTTTTGATCAGCGTTAATGAACAAACAACATTTTTTACCGTTTCCCGCCTTCTAGTGGACAATCTATACTAAAGTGTGTGTTTGTGAATAGTTGTGTAATGTGAACGAGAAGCTGCAATTTTGGTTTTAATGTAATTTCAGCCTCATTAAGGACAAAATATGAATTTATTTTATTACTTTTTAATTAAAAAATAAAATAAAATTATTTAAAAGAAATTGTCTTATAAATTGTGGGAAAACATCAGACCATTATACAATGCTAACACTAAACTCGTAAATGTTAACTGTAGTAAGATGACTTATAGTTAGCTTATTAATAGGATTTTACTGTTTTTTTTTTTTTTTACCGTTAAAATTATTACATTTTTAAAAGAGTGGAAGAAAAAAAAAGTTTGACCTTGAACTGTGACCTATGGTGGCACTTACACACTTTCTAACCCAACCATTACTGTCTGCTCACACACACCTTCAATAAAACATTTTGACTTTTAGTTTTAACGTTTTGACACATTTGACATACAGGTCGTGCTGGATCTGATCAGATGGATTTAATCTCAACATACAGCTACAGGAACATACAGGATCTGAGATGTGTTTCATATATGTCAGATTCCATGAAATATGCGTATTCGGAAGTTCCAAAGAGCTTCCTTATTTGACGAAAGTCAGATTTAGCCTACTGTTTTCCCGGCATGAGCACAAGGACTTTTTAGCTTTCACTTGTATAACCGTTACATATTGATCCAAAGTGAAAAATGAAATAATAGCCTATGTTAATAATCGTTGCTATCAGCTTGAGGTTTAGGTTGTTTTGAAACCCCGACTGGACGCCGAACGCGTTGAGACTCGACGGAACAGTTTAACAACTACAATGGACAACTTTGTTCTCTCGTCTTTTACTCCCATTTACAGAATTATGCAAATGATTGTTATCATTTTATCACCTTGTTTAATTAGCTTCTGAGAATCGAATCAGCTGCAATTGTTAAATATGCAAATGATTGTTATCATTTTAGTCCCGTTACTCCTGGGTGGTGAGTAGATTTATATCGTTTCAAGAATTAATTTTCACTTTCACTTTACAAATTTCAACGAAATATCTAGCCTAAAAATGATTTGAATATAGGCCTAATTTAATGCAATTTTGTATTACATATAATTTATACAAATATTAGGCTACTATATAGCAATGTACAATTCATTTACATACAATACTTATTTTGAGAGGCTTAAAGTCAGAAGATGTCTTTGTATTGTAACGAGGAAAAGCCTGAGAATCTTGTATTACAGACCCAAATATTTAAAAATGTATAAACCAACATGAATACAAAGATTACGTTCAAAGAGCATGGCTGACCTTTCAACATTTTTTTTTGTTAAAATAAATACATAAAATATCCTGCTGGACTTTAAACGTGGTTTTGGATCTGTAAAGATTTGAACAGGATTAAAAAAAAAAAAACAGGATCATTGGATTTAAAGGGATAGTTCCCTCGAAAATGGAAATTTAGACATCATTTACTGAAAGGATGAAAGGATGTTAGACAGATTATCCACATCACATTTTTTCCATACAATCAGATTGAATAAAGAAGAAAACAGCAAAGTCTATTATGAGATGTCCTACTTAAATCTCCATCTGAGAAACTGTTTCTGTTCGTTCATCAGGTGTGTTTGGTGTTGATGTGAAGTCAGTGATGGAGGGAGATTCAGTTACTCTACAGACTGGTGTTTCTGAAATAAAGAGAGATCATCTGATAACATGGACGTTTGGACCTGAACGCACTCGTATAGCTCAGATCAACGGATTGGTTCAAAAGATCTCCACATATGATGGTCCTGACGGGAGATTCAGAGACAGACTGAAGCTGGACAAACAAACTGGATCTCTGACCATCACAAACATCACACCTCAACATGCTGGACTCTATGAATTTTTACATTTCATCAGTGGAAAAGAGGTCACACCCAAGAAGTTCAGTATTATTGTTTATGGTGAGTCGTTTTGTAGCTGCATGCCAATTTGAGTGGTAACTTTTCCTTTGAATGCATTGTTCAGTTAGAAGCCTCTTAGAGACAAAATCAACCTGGTATGCAGTATGTAATTTGTGGCGACCAGAGAGACAGACATAATGTCAAACATCAGGGTCCAAACTGCATCATGGTGTTTTATTGTGACATTTACATCAATATTTAGTATATTCTCTCTTGTTTTCAGCTCGTCTGCCTGTTCCTGTCATCAGCAGTAACTCTTCACAATGTTCTTCATCATCATCATCATCGTGTACATTGCTGTGTTCAGTGGTGAATGTGAGTGATGTGACTCTCTCCTGGTACAAAGGAAACAGTTTATTGTCCAGCATCAGTGTGTCTGATCTCAGCATCAGTCTCTCTCTACCTCTGGAGGTGGAATATCAGGATAAAAACAGCTACAGCTGTGTGCTCAACAATCCCATCAGCAACCAGACCAGACATCTGGACATCACTCAACTCTGTCACACATGTGCAGGTACGGCAGCGTGGATATCTTAACATTTATTTACTTAGCTGTTCTCTGTTGGTCATGTTCATTTATGTGAAATAGGGGCCCCTCTTAGGGGCCGTTTACACATAACGCTTCTTTGCGTCTAAAAATGCGAGATGCAGCGCTCGGGAATGCTTTTTTAAAAAGCGCAGCACAGAACCTCTGCCATGTTGCCGTAAAACTAAAAAGTTGCCACACCAACTTGCCAACGCTTGCCCCGCCTCTGGGTCTTCTGATTGGTTCACTGTTTTGGTACTGACATTAATGAGCGGCGCTGCTTGTAAAAGTTATTTTAACTAGACACAGCATCTTAAAAACATGGCACTTGTGTGTGAGACACTGCAAAAGATGCGAGACACAAGCTCAACGGCCATACAGGTCTGTCTAGTGTGTGTTTATATAGAAAACAATGGAAAAGTAGCGCATCGGAATGGAAAAACGCATTCTGTGTGAACAGTTAATGAAGCTTTCTTTTTCCATTATAGCACCAGGTTTGACCACAGGTCAGTTAGTGCTGGTTTGCGTTTTTCCTCTGGCTGTGGTTGCAGTTTTCTGTGGTGTTTTCTATTGTTTTCACCACATGAAGTCTAGACAAGCAGCTAATCAAGGTATGTGTTACCTAGCTAAATTTGCCAACGAAAAATATGAGTTTTATTGTGCAAAACACTGTTTTGTAAAAAAAGGTTTATTGCATTTCTACTTCATTCTTTAAATTAAATGATTATCTTTACAGGCCAACAACCTGATGGAGAAGAACATATTGGGCTGACTAATGGTGAGAGACGATTTAACTATGACTCTTGTGCTTATATGTGTTTGATGTGGCTTTATTCTGTCCACCGAGACAACAAACATCTTTACAAAGAACTCTAAAGTTAACACATTAAAGGGCTTCATTGAATTGTGTGATTATTGTTAAGGTGTAGTTCCTGGAAATGCTGTGGACGTTGATCGGCTGAACAATGGTAAGATACTGTATAACTGAATCTCTCTGCATGTTTGTGTTCATATTAATCCACACACAAGCCATTATTATTGGCGTTTGTTTTCAGCAGACGCAGAAACACCTGATCAGGAGAGACATTCACAAAACAGTAAGTTACCGGACAACTAGTCAACTTGAAGGTTCCCAGCTGGGTTTATTTGGCTGATACCATTACTAAGAACATTTACATTCATTAATTTTGCAAAGCAACTTAAACTGTTTATCCTATTAAAGCTCAGAAAAGCACAACAGCAGTGAAACCAAAGGTAAACCCGATGGATAGTCAATGCAACTAGATACCTTTAAAAGTTGTGGAAGTTCTGTGGGAGGAAAAATGAATCAAAATGACTTTTTCCAGCATTTTGAATTTCTGAAAAACCTACTTTTTTTTTAATTCCCCCAAAGCCACTGATCCAAATTGCACAAAAAATTGATCTAGATAGCCTCGTAATTTGTATTTTTCTTTTGTCAACCGTTTCTAAGGTATAAGCTGATGGTTTTTGGCCAATGTCTTCAAATTGCAAAGTTACAACTTTTAACCAGCAGCATCAGCAAGATCTGTCAATATTCGTCGCAGTGACTAGTTTGAACCCTGTCTTTTTTCCAGGTGCTTTTATCGAGAAAGATGAAATTAAGTCAGTGTTAGCGAGAGTGGGAGAATCTGTCACACTACACACGGATGTCACTGAAATACAGGAAGATGAGCTGATACGGTG